TTAATAAGCACAAAAAAGTAAAAAGAAATAAACAATTCGATTCATTTACATCGATAAGTATAAGTTTTAAAAGTTTTATATTTACTTTTATTAATTATAAAATTTTTATTTATAATTTATTTTTATATTTATTAGTAAGTCTTACAACTTAATTATATTTTTGATGTTATTCATCAGATTTAATATTTTTTTACTTTCATATTGTTCTTTTTTAGCACACAACTTGAAAATCAATGGTCCAAATAAAATATTAATAATTAAAATCTCATGATATATTTTACTTAATTCTTGAATGTAAAATTCATATACTTTAAGTGTTAATAATTAATATTACTCACCTTGATATTAACCATTTAATGGTCAAGTGAAAATTCGTTAATTTTATTCACTTTGTGACTAAAATTGAGAAAAACAAACAAACAAACAAATGACGATTTTTGTGGGATCAAAATTCAATCCTGTAAGACTAAAGTGCAATTTCTATTCTAATTCTAAATATAAGAGTTTACTTTTCTTAAATAATGAAGTAGCTAAATGAATTGTTCAACTTTTCTAGTTTGTCAGAGAATGTATAAAATTATATTAAAAATAGAGATTTTTAAAATCTGATGATATATTTTATTTAATTATTGAATGTAAAATTCATATATTTCAAGTGTTAATAATTAAAATATTACTCACCCTGATATTAACCATCTAATGATCAAGTGAAAATAATTATTATTTTATATTGTAATAGGATATTTATATTATATTAAAAAAACTAATAGAAAATAAAAAGTTATTTAAAATTTAAATATTAAAATTTTCAACCTACATGGATAAAAGTACAAATAACTATTATTTATCACCTAAAAGTTACACATAGAATTAATAAGCACAAAAAAGTAAAAAGAAATAAACAATTCGATTCATTTACATCGATAAGTATAAGTTTTAAAAGTTTTAATATTTTCTTTTATTAATTATAAAATTTTTATTTATAATTTATTTTTATATGTATTAGTAAGTCTTACAACTTAATTATATTTTTGATGTTATTCATCAGATTTAATATTTTTTTACTTTCATATTGTTCTTTTTTAGCACACAACTTGAAAATCAATGGTCCAAATAAAATAATAATAATTAAATCTCATGATATATTTTACTTAATTCTTGAATGTAAAATTCATATACTTTAAGTGTTAATAATTAATATTACTCACCTTGATATTAACCATTTAATGGTCAAGTGAAAATTCGTTAATTTTATTCACTTTGTGACTAAAATTGAGAATAACAAACAAACAAACAAATGACGATTTTTGTGGGATCAAAATTCAATCCTGTAAGACTAAAGTGCAATTTCTATTCTAATTCTAAATATAAGAGTTTACTTTTCTTAAATAATGAAGTAGCTAAATGAATTGTTCAACTTTTCTAGTTTGTCAGAGAATGTATAAAATTATATTAAAAATAGAGATTTTTTTGAAAACAACAATTCTATATCTTTTCAAAACTTTGTTGTTTAAGTTGATAGTGGGTTGATATTTGGGAGATATGTGAAAGAAAGCCATTTTGTGAGAAATAATGGTGCGCGAATGAATACTGTCTTTGATTTTTAGGAGATGTGAAATGTATTGTTCATATATTTGTATTTAATTAATTAAGCATTAGTTATTAATGAAAAATATAAGATATGATGGGTATTAGTGTATCACTAATTTGGCATTAAAAATATGTTAAAATAAGAGTTTTTTAGGTAATTCATTTTTTAATTTAAAATATAAAATAAGATATGTATTAGTGTATTACTAATTTGTCATTAAAAATATGTCAAAATAAGGTTATTTTAGGTAGTTCATATTTTTACAAAAACACTCGTCCTTTTAGAGTAGTATAGATATAGATATAGATATAGATATAGATAGATAGATAGATAGATAGATAGATAGATAGATGGATATGTTTAATGAAATGGAGCTATAGTGGAGATGAGAAATTGCAGAATTGGGTTGTTGTCATCACTTAAAAAATGTTCATTTCGACCTAATTTTGCAGATCATCAATCTTGACTTATGTTGGGAGGCCAACCGCACTAAGACAGTGTTTGGGAGTATATAATTTATTTATTTATTGGTGGCAATGAATTTGTTTAATTTAATGCCTGCACAAGCAGCAAGGAGTCGACGATAATACTATTTTGTATTGGTCATTAATTTATGCACTTGTATTTGGGTAGAGTGTAGCTCAAGCAGGACTAGATGATTAGGAAAAAGTAAATTTCAATTAAGGTAGATAAAAAAAATATATATATATGACGACAACAAAATATTGTAAAATGCTATAGTACCGGGACCATTTCTTCCAATAAAATGGAGGAAAGCTTATCAGGGTAATTTATTTTTTAAAAGAATAAAAAACATAAGTGGACAAAAATAAAATAAAAAAAAAATCAGTAGCCCAAAATCAAATACAGAATACGTTTTAATAATTATATTTTATTTAAAAAACGTATTCTTAGAATACGTGTTATAATTAATTTTTTTTTTAAATTTAAAAAACATTATAAAACGTATTGTTATAATACGTTTTTAAAAAAAAAATTACTCCCTACTATTCATGATAAGTGTCGTTGTGGAAAGTTGCACACTAATTAAGAATAATTTTTTTGCCAATAATAACCCTCATTAATGAAGATAGAGATGGATGTTTTAAAAAAAAAGATGAAGAGAATATGAAAAGACGTAGTGTATTTATTAACTAAATGAGGGTAATAATGGAAAAATATGTACAAAAGATCCAAAACGACATTTATTTTGGTTAATAGTTGATAAAGCCAAAATGACATTTAAAAAAAAATAGGAGGTAGTAATAAATAAAACGTATTTTTATAATACGTTTTATATTTTAAAATTAGTGAAAAAAAAATTAATATTTAGTATGTATTTTGTGTTTCGAGCTCGTTTGGGATTGTCTGAATTCGGAATTGAGTTTCGTTTTTTTCTATACGTAGCTAACGACCCCTTCTATTCAATGATGCTTGCATGACAAAATTATTCTTGAAATCTCTTGACCGACGGAACACCCGAAATCTCCTCTTCTCGTTTATTGTGCTACTATTCCCACGGGAATTCAAGTTTCTCTAATTAAAGGCTCGGAACACCGAAATACTCGATAAATGCCCTGCATGCATCGTGCCTGAATTATCTACACGCCCCAACTAGATTCTCAGTAAACCGAAGTCACACGCGACCTTGCGGGACCCACGTAAACGGCTTTTTCATTTATTTTACTAATATGCACCCTCGAACTCGAACTTCTCTAAATAAATGATCGGGACCTCGAAATAATAAATCGATGCCATAAACGGCTTCTCCTCTTCTTCTGTTTTCTCGAAAGCACTTTTTGTTAATGCTCGACTCCTTTATCGAGGCCCGACGGAACACCCGAAGTCTCTTTATCTCGCTTATTTTGCTATTATTCCCACGGGAATTCAAGTTTCTCTAATTAAATGCTAGGAATTACAAAATACTCGATAAATGCCCCGCATGACATCGTGCATGAATTATCTACACGCCCCAACTCGATTCTCGGTAAACCGAAGTCAAAGCCGACCTTGCGGGACCCACGTAAACGGCTTTTTTTTTTTATTTATTTTACTAATATGCACCCTCAAACTCGAGCTTATCTAAATAAATGATTGGGACCTCGAAATAATAAATCGATGCCATAAACGGTTTCTCCTCTTCTCGTGCTTTCTCGAAAGCACTTTTCGTTAATGCTCGACTCGCTTATTGAGGCCTGACGGAACACCCGAAGTCTTCTTCTCGCTTATTTTGCTACTATTCCTACGGGAATTCAAGTTCTCTAATTAAATGCTCAGAACTCTGAAATACTCGATAAATGCCCCGCATGACATCGTGCCTGAATTATCTACACGCCCCAACTCGATTCTCCATAAACCGAAGTCACACGTGACCTTGCGGGACCCACGTAAACGGCTTTTTTATTTATTTTACTAATATGCACCATCGAACTCGAGCTTCTCTAAATAAATGATCGGGACCTCGAAATAATAAATCGATGTCATAAATGGCTTCTCCTTTTCTCGTGCTTTCTTGAAAGCACTTTTCATTAATGTTCGACTCGCTTATCGAGGCCCGACGGAACAGCTGAAGTCTCCTCTTCTCGCTTATTTTGTTACTATTCCGACGGGAATTCAAGTTTCTCTAATTAAATGCTCGGAACTCCAAAATACTCGATAAATGCCCCGCATTACATCGTGCCTGAATTATCTACACGCCCCAACTCAATTCTCGGTAAACCGAAGTCACACGCGACCATGCGGGACTCACGTAAACGGTTTTTTCATTTATTTTACTAATATGCACCCTCGAACTCGAGCTTCTTTAAATAAATGATCGGGACCTCGAAATAATAGATCGACGCCATAAACGGCTTCTCCTCTTCTCGTGTTTTCTCGAAAGCACTTTTCGTTAATGCTCGACTTGCTTATCGAGGCCCAACGGAACACCCGAAGTTGCCTCATTAAATAAGCTAATATATAGCAAAAAATGAAGAAAATTATATATAAATAATTAATTTTTTTTGTTAAACGTATTACGGTAATACGTTTTACAATTAATTAATAGCAAAACGTATTACCGTAATACGTTTTACAAATAAATATAAATTATAAAATTAATTTAATTTGTAAAACGTATTTTCGAAATACGTTTTACTATTAATTAATTGTAAAACGTATTACGGGAATACGTTTTACAATTAAATGTAAATTATAAAATTAGTTTTATCTATAAAACGTATTCCGAGAATACGTTTTACAATGTAAAACGTATTACGGCTTTTTGATTTTGGTTTACATTTTAATTTTTTTGTTTTTGTTTTTGTCCACTTATTTTTTTGAATTTTTATTTAAAGAAATAAATCAAGCTTATCAAGAAACAGGAAAAGTCATTAACTGGTGGGATAAACCTATTTTAATAAATGGAGGTAAAATTGGGCAACCTTTAAGCTACAAACAACTCTGATTACTTTCCAAAGCCAACAAAAGTACCCTTAAAACCCCCCAAAAGCAAAACAATCATAGTTCAATATGAAGAAAATGAAACAATTAATTAAGGAAAATAGAATTTGGAAAGGAAAATGAATTGGCACACCACACACCACACATGTACATACACAGAGACACAAAGAAGAAGCATATGAAATGGAGATTATAATGAGAAAACGAAAAGAGAAAAAAGAGCAGTAAATAGTACCAACTCGATCACCAATTTGAAAGGTCTTGTTTCGAGCCCATTGTGTGTAGTTGACGTGGCCAATTGTGGTCCACCCAGCAATCTCCCCTACCTTATGAACTTCTCCATTTGAAAACCCCAGCAAACAACCAAAACACCATATAAACACCACTTTTTCTGCAAAATTTAATGAACCCATCCTGTTTTCTGCTTTGTTCAGTAAAACCTGTGAAACTCTCCCTGATGAAATACGATGATCAGTTTTGAGAGAACAACAATGTTATTTTTTTTTTTTTTCTTTAATATGGATGAATGGGGTATGGGCCGTATGGCAATAACTACTGTCTTTAAGGAGGCTGGTGGAGAGTGGGCCCCGCAGGACGTTGGCGCATTTTCATTTTCCCTTTGTCTTTTAAATTATTTATTTTTGTGATATGAGTATGGAAAAAGGAAAATGAAATGAATGGACTGTGTGTTTTGGCGTAGCAGAACTGCAGAACAGAGTTTATTAAATAAGCCGTTCAGTGCAAGAGCAGCACGACAATGGTATTTAGCTTTTTATTGCAATTCAATTCTCATTTGACACAATTTCTGTTGATTACCAACAGAAAAATGAGTCAGAAAAAGAAAATGTATTAACTCCATTTTTAAAATTGAAACAAGTTTTATTTGGCAAAACAGCACTTAAAACAAAATAACGAAGACCGTAACATTGTGATTTAGCATTCACAACTTTTTAGGTCTAATTTTTCTTACGTGGCACGTAGATAAACTCAAATCTTAGATGAATAAATATAATTATATAAAAGTAATATAATTCACTCCAATAAATACATCGAGTCTCTATTTAAGTCTAAAATAAGTTTAAGAGTAGTAGTTCGGGTGTCTTTTTCTTGCTACTACATTAGCAAGATCCAATACACTTGCACTTGTATTGGAAAAAATATATATATTTTTAGGCTGAAATTCCTATTTGGCATATTAATTTTGTTGAATGAACAAATCATTGTGGATACTCTTATGAAAAATATTTACTTTTTGGGAGAGGTGATAATCGATTGATCATACCATAATACTAATTCAAATGTTTAAATTCAGATCGTAAGGCTACTGAGAGTTTTCCTTTTATAGAAGGATCTCAATTTGTTTTAAGCAGAAGGACCAAAAGTCACAATCCTCACACTCGATCCAAATTAATTAGTACAGAGCCCGTGCGATGCACGGGGTGCACAATTTTAAGGCTATTTATCCAGACTTGTAATTATATACATGAATACAGAAAAATGTACGGGACATATATAGTACGTGACCCGTGCGGGACACGAGATATATTTATTTAAGGAATATTATATTATAAGATGCAATATTCAATAAAAGTTTTATAATACGCAAGAAAATTATACAATAAGACAGTATTCGACAAACAAACAATCATATATTATTAAAGACCACCTTGTACACAACATTATGAGTTTGATTTTCCATACAATAATAATAAGATTTTTTGTAAATTTTCAATCTACACAAACTTTAAACATTAGATGTGTTTACGTAAATCAATGACTATATAGACAACTAAACTCTTCAATTTAGGCTTTGACATCTACTTTATTTATGGGTGACGTAAAATAAGGATTTAATTTTGACCGATTAAATATTTATTCATAGGCTTGACATATAAAACTGATTTGATGGGATTTTCTTAACTAAACCGATGCTATGGAATAAAACAAATCTATACTTACCTTTGACTTTTCCAGTAAAGGTAAAAAAATCGGTTCTGATTTTTATCCCATAACAAATCTTTAATGTCAAGCCTATAAATACCAAAACAAATCTGTAATTAGTATCATTCTATTTCCAGCACCTTTGACTTTTCTGCCTACTATTTCTAGTAAATAGGATGACTTTTTATATAAGTATAGATTTCATATAATGCAAAGACTGAGATCATAAAAAATAATCCTAAAACTGAAACAATATATTTGCATAATTTAAGGCCATTAAGAAATCGATCTCTAAACCAGATTTGATTTTCAGAATATGTTTTTTCATTTCGAATTCCATACAAAATGGAATTCTTTCCAACCAATAGATGTCATAGCAAATATTAACTCTTAACTATTAGACTATTAGTACATACCGAGCAAATTGTGTACTGATTTTAGAAAGTTGAAATGATTCATGTTAGGTAATTTTACATTTTATCCATGTTGAACGGTGGGTTTTAAATATTGTTTCATAGAATGTAAAAGTGTATTATATTTTTTTTATGAGATGTTGAATTTGAAAATTAATAGAATTCTTCTTCATAGGAATTTTAAATGTAACAATATTCTTTGGTATACACTACTAATAAAATCTATATTTAAAGTTTATATTTTTTTTACCGGAAAGAATTCCTTAATTTAAGGAATCATATATCTTCAATCAGTCCACATCTATATACATTCTTCACAATTTTAAATCTTGAATTTGATGAGAGTTCGTATCTATGAGTGCAAAATATGGTTTAACAAATTAATTTTTTATTATAATTCCAGCCATACTTCTTTATACGATTTTTTGTGAAAATACAAAAGTAAATTCTTAATTTTAAATCAGCCGTACATTAAAGAGTACAAATTTGTTGAAATTACAAAAATAGTTTTTTACTTTTAAACAGACGTAAATTTAAATCAGTTATAAAAAAGTAATATTTGTTTACCATTTAAATATTAAATAAACCGTAATTAATGTTGTTTGTTTTAGTTGCCACGATTTTCTCCAAACTAAATTAACAACTGCCATGATTTAAGGGCAACATTTAATGCTGCTCTATTTTTAGGAGACATTAAATATATTTGGCGGGAGAAAATTGCTAAAAGTGTTAAATGGTTAATCTTTTAATATAATGATAGATAATATTAACGACGCCACCAATAGCCTTTAATATTCTTTTATGTAATAATAATAATAATAATAATAATAATAATAATAATAATAATAATAATGTGTACAGAGGTAGTGAGATCTGAGATTTTAGGTGCCGGCGGATGAACAATGCTTCAAGGCAAAGAGTGATTGAGGTGGTTATGGGTGGAGAGCACAAAATATATATTTGAACCACTGAATGAAAAATGTCATTATTACAAAGAAAATCTGTATGGTTGCTTGATACGAGGAAAGTAGACTTGGTTTTTGTTGCACTCAACAATTAAACTGTTGCATGAACACACAATTTTACCTGTATGTATTACTCACAATTCACAGATGAAATTTTCCTTTAATTTGTGGTGAATAAAATTTCTCACTTTCTTTCTTTCTTTATCTTCGGTTCAAAGAACAAGATAGAAGCCCGTTTGACTAGATAAGCCTTATTAATGGTCAAGCCCATCTACTGAGATGAGGCCCAATGCACCAACGAATCCACCACAAACCGTACTAATGGTTGCTCAAATTAATTGTTATCCAAGCCCTAATACCCATAGAAGGTTGCTTGGTATCACTATTTTTTGGAAATAAATTTATCAGACGTCACGATCTTATTGACTTTTGTATTACTGTCACAACTTTGGAACTTTCGCACTTCGATACTTA